CCCGCGTAGCCGCTTTAAAAGCATCGGCCAAAATCAATATCGCCTCCACGGGATGGCCTTTTAATCAAGCCAGATACCGTAATCGCGGCCTGGCCCCCTCTATCTCTCTCCTTCCTTTTTATCCCTTTATTTTCCTTTATTTTCTCTCCTCTCTTGCAGCGTGTTCGGCCGCTACCTGCGCCACACCGGATCATCCTTTCTGCGGACACGCGAGCCGTCAGGCTACTTAAAATTGAAATTTATGTGGCTGCTCGACGGAACCGTGCAGCGTCACTCGGTCGGCAGGAGAAAGAAAAGGGAACAATGAATTCTCATGTGAAAAATGATCCCGTTAACGCGTGGAATGAAAAACTGCCGGGGAATCCAGCGGTGAACGTTACTTTTCGATTATATCTTCAACGCAGGAAGCGGCCGAGAATTATTCTTAGGTATTGGAAGCTAAATTTTGAATTAGCAATTTTTCGGCGAATGAAATTTAGAAGGTAGAAATTTGTCATGCTTGAAAGTGCAGACTGCAGGGTGAAAATGTGGAAAAATTTGCGGAGATAAATTTGCATGGCTAAAAGTGTCCACTGCAGGTTCCTAAGAGATAGATGAATAACTGAATCAGTCATTTCAGAATGCACAGATGTGAGAATTTCCAGCTTTAGAGGGAAGCGATAAAAATTATTTCGTTCCGGTAATTCGCGCGCCAAAAATATACATTTCAAATTGAAGCTTCCTGCGTCATCCTCGCAAATTAAGTGTTTGCAAGTGACGTGGTGTAAATGATTACTCGCGCACTTGTGTAACAAAAAATATTTATTCAAACGGTAATGCTTAAACTAATTTTAAATCTAAGGTGATACGATACGCGCGCAAAGGTCTATGACAAAAGGCCTCGTGCCTTTTTCGGGGCTCCCTGGAAAAGTCCCAGGAAGTGGGGGCGCGGACCTACATTGCCGAGGCAATACTCTTGTTAAGCACTCGGGTACTAATTTTCGCGTACTTGGAATATTGCACTAGGTGCCGTCTGAAGATTGAATGTATTGCGTTGAGAGTCTGACTGAATCTTTATTATTCCTGATGTAACCGATGGTCTGTGTACTAACACTCTGTGGTCTTAAGCTAAGTCGGTCTTCTTATCGAGTCGTTAAATTTTAGAAGATTTGGAGAAGGGACGCGAAGGGAGGTTCTTAAAATTACTAAGTGACCTTCCATTGCGCCCGGAGCGCGTCACGTCCTTGGAGCGGGGGTGACGAAGCTGGTCCTTACTGGATGGAAATTTGACAAGAAAGGGGGAAAACCCGGCCAGGTCAACTCTGACTCTCCTACTCGTTCGGAAGGTCAGGTACCGGGAGGCCTCGGTAATTGCATCGGTTTCGAAAACCCTTTCGGGGTGACTTTATGATACCTTGCCTTACCGACTGAACAATAGCCTATTCTTTAATATTTGAGAAATTGTACGTGCCGCATGTTTAGCAGACCGGTCTGCTAAATTAAAATAACGGTTTGCTGAACTAGAAGTCACGTATCATAAAATCGTCCCCTTGCTGTCCTAACAACTCTTGTCCTCGAGGACGAAGATGTGGAATTGGTTTAATAATAAGATGTGAGTGATGGCGTGAATGTAGTGAGTATATCGTATGATCTCGAGATTTGGTAAACGAGCGGATCATACAGGGTAACTGGGGGTAAAAACAGGTGAAGCGCGTTGTTATTGATATCGGAGAGTACGTGAGAATTTATTGCGAGATATATTTAGAGAGGGACAATCAAATTATCATTATTTCTTTTACGTGTATATATAGTTACTGTTGTTATAAAATATATTCCTATTTAACTTGTTAACAAGTGTTATACAACCACAGAAGAAACTCGCCAGGCCTAAGTGCGTGGGCCCCCTGTGGCGGTCTAACTAAAAATCGCCAAAAATATCACGAAAGTTAGCAATATTTCCAATATTTAAAAAACGAATAAGAAATCCAAACGACGTCGCCACGAATAAAAAAGAAATGAACAACTGGCAAAGCTAGAGAGCTAAGCTGCAAGCGAGAAAATGGCGCAAGTTGGACGCGGAAAGTGCGTAAGGCGATCGCGTGTTCGCGCTTAGAGACGAATCGCGTGAAACACCGTCGAAGCGTGGCCCGTCGATGCACATAACGAGCCGGTGTCCAGCGAGCAGAACGAGTTAATTAATCCTCCAGAGACCGGGCACGCTCTGTATGCGTCGCTCGATAATTACTCGCGCAAGTGCGCTCACACTTGCACTCGTCAAGTTCCTATTCCGCCGTGCGATTTCCTCGCCAACCACCTGGCGCGCGCTATCCAACCGGGCGAGGGAATCGATACGCTCGATTGTCGCCGTGCAGCGGCGACGAGGAGGAAAAAAAAACCAAGAGTACGCGAGCGAGAAACGTTAACGTTCACAGCCGACAATGCTGGAAAATTGCTTCGCAGCCCTCGAGATTTCCAAGGTTCTGGGCAGTTTTGCTTAAAAGGCGCCTTCGCGTGGAAGTGAAAATTTGAAAATTGGCAAATTTTTTAGTGAAACTGAATCGAGTGTGTAGTTGTGTTTGAAAATTGAACATTTTGGAATGTTTGGAAGCTTTTTGGACACTTTTGCTTAAGGTGCCTTTCGTGGAAATGGAAACTATTAGAATTATGGTAATGAATTAAAAGATATTATTTTATTTATCAATCTTCTTTATTTTGATACGCGAGGAAGGCACGTCGCTACGCAATCAATCAAAACAAAAGCATCAACAAGACGCTAAGAAAAAAAAAACGTATCAGCGTCACCCATACTAAACAGATGGTTACTATGTATTTCTATATATACAAGGTGAGTCTCCTAACATGACGACCTCAAATAACTCGTAAGGCATTCGTTGGACGAAAAAATGTTTCAAACAAAAGTTGCATGGTATCTAGGGGGACATACAGTGCTCTAATCTGTTTTTTATTACCTTACTCTTTCATTTAGATATTAGGGTCACCTTCAGTTTTTAAATGGAATGTCTAATATTTTTTTTCGAATTCGGATAAATCATCAAATTTTGCGTGAAAAGGTGTTACACAAAGTGGGACTTAAAATGAATAATTACTGAGATATTTATAAAACAAGTAAACGAAGTCGTGTTAAGAATCACGCTGACTGAGTGTATTTCCTAACAACTAGTGCGGGTCGTCCTTAGAAGGACTCAGGGTGCCTCAGCTTATTAGCTTATACCCTTATCAGACCAGGTTTCTACTTTCTATCGAAACCACCAACCGAAGAACAAGCCGGAGAATGAGTGAGGACGCCCGACCATGCTTGAACCCCAACTTGGTGGTAAGGATTTTTGCTGTTGGACTTTTTATAATTTCTAGACGTTAGTAAGGATGGAACTGACGTCTGTGTGAAATTTCAGCCCGACGTATTTCCTAACAGAAGATTATTAATTTGAAGATAGATTCTAACCCAACAACCAAGTTTCATTCCACCTCGAACCAGCGAGAACTATCAACAACCTGCGCCAGACTCCTGGTCATAACATCTGATCAATGTCCACGACGCAACAATTTATATTAATCTGTCTCAGTATGTTGATCATTTCTGCTGTTAATATTACACAGACACACACTCATTTCTCCTAATAATCCAACAGAAACTAAGTTCAAAATTGGGAAATTTTTGAATAAAGGTGAATTCTCTTGGATTTGTCTTTATGTAGAATTATATTTGAAAATTAAAAGAGAAGGAGTAATTTTCTATTCCTCGACAATTTTGTACTTTACCTTGCTCCATGAAAATTTTCAAACGTACCAAAAATTAATAGAAGAAAAGAAGTAACGATATTCTTTTCTTTCAGCCCTGATTTCTCCAAGTGTTCATTCTCTTCAAGATAGATGTAAAAATGTTCTTTTCAATATGAAACCAAAATTGAAATACCCAAAAGAAAACGATAAAAACAAAACGTAGATAATCATTCATGGAAATACCAGCAAAGTTTATTACCATAATGATTTCTCGAACCGAGAATCCTAACGAATTATTCCTCTCCGCGAAGCGATCAAACTGCGAACGATATCTTAAAATCCTTAAATAGTCTACCACGTAGAAATAAGAAAACATTACACGTGACCGTACTTTACATTAAAACCGAGTTCATTCCCTTAACGAACCCCGCTAACGAATTAATTAACGAACTCCGCGGCAATTCCGGCACAGCTCGCACATCCCTGATACATCGGCTAATGAAGATCCCGACTAATAGCAGTTGGAATAATCGAGGAACCATAAAATCGAGCCCGCTTAATCGAACTCCCGTTCTCTATCTCTACAACCCGGCGTACAATTAAACCAACCACCTCCGAGAGAGCCAGGCGAAACAGCCCGAACCTTATTTCATGCTACGAATCCTCCGGAAGAAAAAAAATCCTTTAGATCCACCGCGAGAAGTGTTAGCGTTACGCCTGATGGCCTCGGAAAATTGCTTCCGTCTCAGAGATGTCTCCAACGACAACGATTCACACGAAATATTTCATCTTCGAGGCTGCCTTAACTCTCCCCGAGCGTTCCAGGATCAAGCAAACCATTCGGTCGTCTGGGAAGTTCTTGAACCGTTCTCGAAACGTACAAATGGAAATTTCTGGCTTGAAAAATTTGGGGAAACTGGAATTTTCGAATTGCCGGAAATACAGCGAAAGAGGTTATCGCTTGAAAATCACATCTTATAGATCGGTAATTCCCAAATTTATTTCGTCACGGAAGCTTGGCGCGATTTTCAAAAATCCCAGTTTACTTCGATAAGAGATTGAACTCAATTTTAATTAAATTCCAGGAATTAATTTTAACAAGATTTCAAACTAAATTTGAATAAAAATTTCATCAAAAGACAGTCTATCTCTTGGAACCGAGAATTCCTCCGCGTTTGCAAATCACCGCGATAAATACCAGCGTCTCTCTAAAAATACCGCTTCATTGACAATCAAGACGGCGAACCGGCAGTCCGGACTGGCGCGAAGTAAAGGGTTGTCCGCTAATTATAGACGCCTAATTCGAGGATCGAAGCGGATAGTCACATCGGAAGTAACGATCCAATGAATCCGTTCGCTTCACGAACGTCTACTCTCGTCACTCTTGATTAGCGGCTGGAGAAGCGATTCCCTATTTAGAGGCCGCTATCGTAACCAGCCGCCAGAGATCAGAGACGAGCGGCGAGTAATTATCCTCGAAACGGAAACTCACCCTAATCCTTGGGCCCTTCTCTCTCCCTCTCTCTCTCCCTCTCTCTCCTCAAGTCGGGAGCTGGTGGTCCCGCGTGCACATTAACGGCATGTGTGCCGAGTGCGTGCGACGTGATTGATTTGCTCGGCGTGTGGCTAACTCGAATCAGACCCGCGAGTAGAGAGAGAGAGAGGGAGGGAGAGACACTCGAATGGAGAAACACAGGCGGGAAGACTTGGAAAGAACACATGAGCACGAGGAGCCAGTTTATTTATTCACCAGCTCGATTACTCTGCCTGGATGTTGCTATTGATGGCTGGTTTACTGAGCTTAAGTTCTGTTTCTTTTTTAAAGAAATCGGAGGGTTGCAAATAGGGTTTCGATGTAGATAATAAATTGGAAAGAGAAATTTTTAATTAATTTCTTGATTGCGAAAAATATTTTTTTAGAGGACATTATATGGGTTAATATTGAGTGCTTATAAGAATAACCCTTTAATGAGATTCATGAAATTGAAGATTGATGTAACGAATGAATTGGAAAATGGAATTTTTATTTAATTTCTTGGTTTGCGAAAAATATTTCGTAGCATTGATATTGGGTGCTTGGAAGTGCTAACCCTTTACTGAGATTAAGTTCTGTTTTTTTTTTAAGAAATCGAAGGGTTGCAAATAGGGTTTCGATGTAGAGAATGAATTGGAAAGAGAAATTTTTGTTTAATTCCTTGGTTTGCGAAAAGTATTTCGTAGCGTTGATATTGGGTGCTTGCAAGTGCTAACCCTTCACTGAAATTAAGTTCTGTTTTTTTTTAAAGAAATCGAAGGGTTGCAAATAGGGTTTCGATGTAGATAATAAATTGGAAAGAGAAATTTTTAATTAATTTCTTGATTGCGAAAAGTATTTCGTAGCGTTGATATTGGGTGCTTGCAAGTGCTAACCCTTTACTGAGCTTAAGTTCTGTTTCTTTTTTAAAGAAATCGGAGGGTTGCAAATAGGGTTTCGATGTAGATAATAAATTGGAAAGAGAAATTTTTAATTAATTTCTTGATTGCGAAAAATATTTTTTTAGAGGACATTATATGGGTTAATATTGAGTGCTTATAAGAATAACCCTTTAATGAGATTCATGAAATTGAAGATTGATGTAACGAATGAATTGGAAAATGGAATTTTTATTTAATTTCTTGGTTTGCGAAAAATATTTCGTAGCATTGATATTGGGTGCTTGGAAGTGCTAACCCTTTACTGAGATTAAGTTCTGTTTTTTTTTTAAGAAATCGAAGGGTTGCAAATAGGGTTTCGATGTAGAGAATGAATTGGAAAGAGAAATTTTTAATTAATTTCTTGATTGCGAAAAGTATTTCGTAGCGTTGATATTGGGTGCTTGCAAGTGCTAACCCTTCACTGAAATTAAGTTCTGTTTTTTTTTAAAGAAATCGAAGGGTTGCAAATAGGGTTTCGATGTAGAGAATGAATTGGAAAGAGAAATTTTTGTTTAATTCCTTGGTTTGCGAAAAGTATTTCGTAGCGTTGATATTGGGTGCTTGGAAGTGCTAACCCTTCACTGAGATTAAGTTCTGTTTTTTTTTTAAGAAATCGAAGGGTTGCAAATAGGGTTTCGATGTAGAGAATGAATTGGAAAGAGAAATTTTTGTTTAATTCCTTGGTTTGCGAAAAATATTTCGTAGCGTTGATATTGGGTGCTTGGAAGTGCTAACCCTTCACTGAAATTAAGTTCTGTTTTTTTTTAAAGAAATCGAAGGGTTGCAAATAGGGTTTCGATGTAGATAATAAATTGGAAAGAGAAATTTTTAATTAATTTCTTGATTGCGAAAAATATTTTTTAGAGGATATTATGTGAGTTAATAAATTGAGTACTTGCAGATATTAACCCCTTATTGAGATTAAGTTCTGTTTCCTTGGAAGGAAATCGAAAGGTTGCGAATACGGTTTCGAAGCAGAGGAAACTGATATTCCGAATGAATTGGATAATGGAATTTTTAATTAATCACTCAATTTGCAAATATTTCGTAGTGGATACATATCTGTGTTAATATCATTAGGTACCCACTCGGAATCTTCAAATCCTTTAAAACAGAAAAGCATAAAAATTTTCAATATTTGCAGAAATGTGAAAATGAAAGAATCGCATATCCAAATGCACACTTGCCCAAAATTCCAACAAAGACAAAACCAAGAGACTGAAGTATCCAAATTTCACAAACAGTACCCAACTCCCAAAATTTGGTCCAGATCAATCAAAGCCATTCCACTCTATTGGAAATGGGTTATGGAATGAAATAGTCTTTTAACTTTGTAATATACGATTTATTTACGGTCTCAGAGGAAACGTGTTTACTCTATTGAATCTTCTGAAGGACTGTTTCTGTGCACCCAAAAGAAAGTTGAGGTCCCCTTATACCTAGAAACTGTTTACATTATAGTATAGCATTGTGCAGTGAGTGACTCCAAGACGGACACCAGATGCATCTGGTGTAAGTCCTAGTGCCTTTGTTTAAAATAACCCGGAGACATTTTTGTCCTCACTTGATTATTTCCATAGGGTATTGTTAGAAATAATCCAACACACTCCCCACCCAAACAAATCCAAATTACAACACCTCTCGAATAATCCGCTAAAATCTCCTCTAACGCGTCTTAATAGTATCCCGGAAGAAGCTATCACAGGCTAATCATCAAACGTATTACCATATTCAGATCGAATAATTTCGCTCTATCCGCGAGACAGAAAGCGGACCGCCGCTTATATCTTCCGGCAACCGCTGGCTAACAGGATTTTGCAATTCAATTTCACCGGCGAGTAGGCGTACACACGGCTGCGGACATAATTATCTGAAATATTATTTAACCGGCATTAATGTTCACAAGTGGCGACCGCTTCACAGTTTTCACCGTCGATATTTAATACTCACGCTCAACTTAGCCTTCGCGCAAATCCACGGCTGATTTTATTCGCCTGGACACTGTCGAGAGAACATCTACGCGGCACACCTCGTGGATCGCGCGAGGGGAGAAGTTTCGAGTTTTAAACGGTGCCAAAGTTTCCCTCGGTGGAAAGATCGTTTAAGCAACCTAGACGCCGTCTTTCTCGTTTTACCATTCTACTCGCGTTCCCTCCCCGTTTTATAACGATAGCCGGTTAAAGACGCCGCGTGACTAGAGAGAAGACGCGAGATCAGAGGATGTTAAGTATCGACGTTTTATTATTCCGATGTCTCTTCCGCTTAACGAAGGCAGATTCTAGCTGGAGAACGATTCTCGGTGTGCCGTTTGCCAGTTAGCTTTTAGAAATTTACGAACGCGTTAAAAACTGTGATTCGCGGAATGAAACGTTTACTGGTCGATGAAGAAGGCAGACGGGGAGGGTTTGCAGCGAGGCGAGGAAATAAGGGTCATAGGATTTCTTAATACTTCATTCGCGAGTTAATGTCCGACTCGTAACTAAGGCGTACAATACGGAGGGATATGTACTGGGTGTCTCGCTTGTAATTTACTTCTACATTGCTTTCGGTATCGTTGAAAATGAAGAAACACGAGTAAAAGAATTTTCTAAGGTCATCGACATTTTTTTTTAATTACTTTCACATTGTTCTAAAATTATTTTAAGGTCGTAATGTGAGTTTCATGATTTCAAACGAATCTCCAAATTATTTGTGCTACCATTAAAAATAAGGAAACACGGCTAAAATAGATTATGATCAAAAAGGAGATCTCTAAGATCATCGACATTTTTTTTTAATTATTTTCACATTGTTCTAAAATTATTTTAAGGTCGTAATGTGATTTTCATGATTTCAAACGAATCTCCAAATTATTTGTGCTACCATTAAAAATAAGGAAACACGGCTAAAATAGATTATGATCAAAAAGGAGATCTCTAAGATCATCGACATTTTTTTTTAATTATTTTCACATTGTTCTAAAATTATTTTAAGGTCGTAATGTGAGTTTCATGATTTCAAACGAATCTCCAAATTATTTGTGCTACCATTAAAAATAAGGAAACACGGCTAAAATAGATTATGATCAAAAAGGAGATCTCTAAGATCATCGACATTTTTTTTTTAATTATTTTCACATTGT